GAAGGTGAATCATTTTGGCCAGCTGACAATTATTTTAAGAACCCACAACTTCGACTGGAGGGTCATATCTTTTTATCAAAGGTCATATGATGTGACCTTGATTCTATGTGTCCTAAGATCTTACACAGCAAGGCACCATTTGGGGATGAATAAGATCTCATTTGAATAAGCATCATCACAGCTTCAATGCTACCCTATATCAGTTTGTTCTTGAAGAGTATATCACTACATTTACAACATCGACCAATTCCATATAAAATAGACAAAAACCAAGTCATGAGTTAGTGAGTTCTGTTTTATGCTGCTTTCAGCAATATTCCAGTAATATCATGGCAGGGGACACCAGGAATGGGTTTCACACACTGTACCCCTATGGGGAATGGATCGAACCTGTGTTTTCAGAATGACATGCATGCGCTTTAACCATTAGACTACCGCACAGCCCCATAATAATCAAGACAAATGATTGCTAGAATCAGAGTCTACAAAACAAATCAGACCAATGTCAGAAGCTTGCCTACCCTTCATCTACTAGGATGGATTAGAGTAAGTACACATCTTCAAATGCTGGGCTAAAACCGATTTGGAGTAAAACACTCTTCCACAAAGACAAGTGAAAATGTTCATCTTGTGCAACGTTTCTCTGTGGTCAAGCATGGCGACCGAGTCTGAGAAGACCATTGGGCACTGAGGACAAGGCCAGGTCATAACATTAGAAGATTCAGCTGCAGAATCATGTCTCAAGCCGATGCTTCCTCTCTCTAATCTGGGTTTAGTTCTGTAAACCCATGAGGAGGTGTGTACAGATCTGGATGCATCTGGAAAGGAGAACAACCTCAGCTACAGTCACATGCCTCGCCACTGTCAAATGTTCATACAAAATGATGAGCTGGTTTGGTTTTTCACCATGTTTGAAGCAACATTCCATAACAAATACCAGCAAGTGAGTAAGTTGCTTTTTGCAATATTCAAGTAATATCACACCAGGTGACACCGAAGATGGCATCACACATATACCCATTTGGGGAATCAAACTCGACATGACATGTGTATGCTTTAACAATACTGCTAACCCCTTCCCCAAATACCAGAAATGAGGAACACACTGCTATTAATATACATGTCCAATCCAGGTGGCTAACGCACATAATATGCCACTGCCATCAAATGCTAATGAATCTTTATGATATGGAACTTGAACTGCAAATTTCTTTTTGACATTCAAATAGAACAATATTTCAATATGCTTCGGGAAGATAAAAAAACAATGTCGAGTACAGCGCTCAGGTAAGAAGATCCTTTGAAACAAACCATGTATCTAAAAACTAAATAAGAGCCACTGCAGAGTCACAAGATTGACAAGGCAGTTTGCAATTCATGTCAAAGTTGACAAAACATGAATGGCTGCAGGGTTCGTTCCCTGGCTTGATGTCAGTCTTGTCAGAAGGAATGCCATCCACACAGATGTTGAGAAAGAAGACGAGAAAACAATACCACCACTCTCACAAGAACTGAACGAACAGTTGATCTGAAATATCAATCGCTGTTGCTATTTTAAGATCCTTAAACAGTATGGTGCCAATTCTCTCCGGCCTTGCACCAACAAATGGCAACTCTTCAAAAAGGTATGGACACAAGGTATCAAACCCACATCAACTACTTGCTCAGTTACATCAAAATTGATAGTGAAATTTATACCATCAAGAATTCTGGTTAGTCTTATTCCCACAAGGCACTTAAGCCCTGATTGAAGTTAAGATTTTGTGAAATGTGTCTACATCTGTATTCCACACAACTTGTTTCAACTTGTCAAGACCATGCTACTACAAAACTCAACATAGCTCATGAGAACCCAAGCATCAATATTTGTGACATTAGTGTCTTTACCCTTGAGAAGCAAAGTACAAAGTGTACCATCTCAAATAAAGTACTTCTATCTATTGTTAAATATCAGCATCAACTCTATCAACATCAATAAACCACTCTCAGGAAAACAGTATTGCTTCCTCATAAAAGCTTGATTTTTCCACATTTATTGTAAAGTTCAATATACTTCTTTGCAATATTCAACCATGTTACATCTCTGATATTTACAGAGGGTAAGAAACTTAAGTCTCTCTTTCAACTGTTACATCTTGCAGATAATCAAATAAATATAGATAGTATCAGAAAACTATCAGAATCACTGGGGGTGATGATCAAAGTAGTAATACAGTTGAATACAGCAAGATACAAAATGCTACTAAACAAGGTCACACACAATACTTCAATTTCATTAACAATTCTAAAAAACAAAATACTCCTTCAAATTTGGTCAGTCAATGAAATGGAAGTATCATATAGTGACAGATCAGATATTTGTGTGACAATGCATGCAAAAACCTATGTGTATTCAAGGTCACTGGAAAATTCTGCAAAGTAAGCCTGAATATTTTGAAATAAAAGTGACAAATTATCTGTCCTTTTCATATAGTGAGAAAGCAATCGATGTTGCTATTGGCCGATGTACCATAGTTGACCCAATAATACAGTATACAAAGTGTAAAAAGATAGTAATAAATAATGCACATTATACAAACACCTCTATGACAAGGAAACAACCCAGAGAAGTACCAAATGCCTCCATGACCTGCTACAATAAACCTGGTGTGTGTGCTTTGCTTTGTGTCCAACTCAGGCTTGCATACATCCAAGCTCCAAAGAATGATGTGTGAATAACGTGTAAAAGACAAACAAGAGTCATCCATTCTTGCAAACTTTATTTCGTAAGCAGTGCATGTGTGTTCATGTGAAAACCTTGGGTATCTAAAACGTGGTATTATTACGTCAAGTATGGTACATCAGTAATTAAAATCTTAATTTGCAGTAATTTACCAATGTTTTGACCTGGTCTATCGTTGTTGAGCTTGAGGACGACCTACCCCAGGCCACAGTTGAGTCAGGAAGCCAGTGTGTGGACTTACCTTGTGATGCCAGGAACCACGCCCCCATCATCGCTGTACTGTGGCACTGGGTGTGTCAACATGGCAAGTGACAAGATGGATGAACTCTGACAGTCATTTCATTTTTCACTTTCCCCATATACATTAATGCCAATCCAATTTGGCCAAATCAAGACTTAGCATTGATTAATCAAACCCAAGCCCCTCCATCTTATTACTTAACTGAGTGCATGTATCTGTAGTGCTGTTTGGTGCTTGAATTATCTTACTTTAACTTGAAAATAGCACCAGAAAAATTACTCAAGTTACTCATAATGCATGCACGTTTAAAATATCTTTAGTGAATCTGAGCCTGTGTTGGATCATTGACAGTATTTGCATCAAGAATATACAAGCTCAATTTGAAAAACGGGGGGAAGACCAAGGGAGACAACTCTTGTGGGGTTAAGACAACAGGAAGTCAATGTTGAAGCCATTTCGGATTGAGCGTGACAAAAGCTTTTGTTATCTTTCAGAGCACTGATGACAATAAATGCTGCCATTTGCCATCTCAATTCATTAACAATAATGGATAGATACCAACAAGATACTGAACTGCCAATCTTTAGTGATAACACCCCTTTCAAGTTTCAGAAGCAATCTTGGTGCTAGCTAGTTGCAGATAACTATGGTATTGAACTGAAAGAACTAATTGAAACCTTTCTGGCACAAAAAACCCTATTTCTTCAGTTGCACTAAAGATTTTCAGATACTTCCAATAATGATGTACATAAATTAATATGTTCTGGTGGCCTATTTATCACCAGCAAATGAGAAAGGTACATTTAACTTCAAATTTCAATTCAAGGGCCCTCAAAGTACATTTCACAACTATCACAATGAATAGATCTTGCACATTTTTAAAAGCTCTGTCTGCACAACTCAGGAAAATGTCCAAAGATTCTTGACTACATACCATGATCAAGCACAGTTCAGATATTATAGAACTGCTGGTCAGCATGAAAAGATTGTTTTAAAAGCACGCCTTCACAAAGAATATGCCAAAATGAAACTGGTACAAGGCAAAAAGTCAGTATAGGCTGGATCTTTGGGTTAATTTGTATCCCAAACTGTCTTGTATAGGATGAAAAGCATAAAATTTATTTAGAACTACTGTACCTTTACATCTCATATATTCCAATTAAATATTATTGTATTTCACCTTTTCCTTGACCTTGGGGCCATCAACTGTTTGAATAGTCCTTACAGAAAGGTCCCATATATTAATGTATATTAATGCAGAGCTCTTGATGGATCAGAAAATTTGCCTTAGCCTTCAAGTTAGAGGCAATTTTTCCTAACAAGTTGACATCCTTGACAAATTTCTAGGCCTGGTTATACTTATTACAAGACCTTTTGTCGACTATGTGGAATGGAAAATGCATATCACTATTCGTTCATATAGGGGCTGCAATATATTTAGTCTGCATCTCTTATTGACAGTTGTGTAAACCAAATGGACATTTCTAAGAAAGAAATAATGGCTTTATTCTGACGCCAAACTACAAAATTATATTTTGATTCAGAAAGAAATATGGCCTGATTGTTTATCAGTGACGAAATTTAGCCACTCGTACAGTCTGAACATCCAGGGACAATCCACCTTTCATGTCAACTAGTTATTTGTTTTAACTATTTTGTTGCTAACTGGGATTTCTTTCGAGTTTCAATGAGTCTTGTCAGTTACAAAAAACACAAAATTTGTCTCACTGTACTACCAAACTGAATTACGATGTATATATTCCTAGACTGGAATTCAATAGAAATTAGCTGCTGAATCCAATAGCTGCCCCTGAGCAGGTCTAGATAACCCCCTGATGTTACATAAAGAACATTACGACTTTATGTTAAAATGTGCAACACTTCCATAAATCTTCAAAGGACATACTTGTGCTTTTCAGATAAAGATTTTGCGAAACTACTTGAAATTTTACAGCATTAGTTTTTCGTTTTTTTAGCAGAATACATTTCATGAAGAAACCAGCAGTTCTGTGAGGATGTATTTCAAAAGATAATTACCGTCATTGCTGTAATCTGCTTCGTTATCATCGCCGTCGTCATTTTCATCTTGGAATACTAAAAAGTCATCTGCACTTTGGTCACCATATCTTGCTTGACTAGTACTGGGTTCGGCGTAATCTGGCACATGTGGAACGTTTTGATAGAAGGACGATGATGAAGAACCGGGTGATTGAGAATGTGATGATTGTGGATGAGAGAGTCGATCTAAAGCTGCCTTGGACGTTTGCGTATGAGGTACATCGGATGAATAATCTATTTGCATGTATGGAGTCTCTTTCTTTGGCACAACATCATCAGGATCATGGTCTGGTTCTATTTCTATTAAATCTGGATCTTCTGGTTCTTGTTTCACATTCACTGGAGTGTCATTTTTGGGTTTTGATTGATGAGAGTGATTTGAAGGACTTGAACTTATTTGAGAATGTGGACGACGATGAACAGGTGATCTGGGTCTTGGAGACTCAGAAAAAGAAGTCCTACTGCTTTTTGCAGCCGGCTGTGGCATAGACACAGAACTTTCATGCAGTCTTTTGGCAGGATGTGACAAATATACTGTTTGCTGCACCGTTTGTATTGTGGACATATTATTAGAATTGTAATTATCATTGTCATTTTCTTGAGGCATTAATGTGCGGTCCACATCAAACACAGAGAGTTTTAAAGTCTTACATTCACTCTTTGATATCATGCTTGCATTTGACGATACTCCGTCCACTTTGAACGTTAGTTTGTTTGAGCGTAACACAACCTGCACATTGGCATCTTGCGTTGTGCCGTATGAGTTCACTGAGGCCGGGAATTCAACATTGGAAGTCGGCCCCTTTTGAAGCGAGGAAAATACATTGCACAATTCCACAGGAATCGTGAACTCTAGTGTTTCAATAAACATGTTGATTATGCAGAGGACCACAACACAAATATCACAAACCGCTTGAATTATTCCGATTAATGAGCAGTCAGACGATCGGTATATCACCGGTGATGATAAAACCTCACGTTGTAGCTGGTCGCCATTGTTTGCCAGTTTCGAGCAGGTGCGCGTTCAGAAAAAAAACACTCTTCTTGACCTACCCACAAGCCTCAATTTGAACGACTGCAAATGTACACATTAACAGTCTTTGATATCTATTAAATGTGCTGCAAGGAAACTCGGCGACGAAATGAGTTCTTTCACGTGGTAAACTTGGTTTGTAATCTTCTTCCTGGCCACATTCAAATTTCACAATGGCGGAATCGTAGCGTCAATTAACATTCGGAGATCATCGGTAACGTCCGGCGCGCCCATAGAACACACAATGAAAGTGCGCCCGAAATGTTCCGAGTTTACCCGCCAACGGAGACGAAAAATATTTTCCTTCCAACTAGTTTAATATTTAGATAAAGGCTTCAATAATATCATAGAAAAAATACTATGTGAGGTTCCGAAAGTAACGTTCTGGGATGTTATTTTCTAGATAATTTGTTCCAGAAGAAGAAAAAGAAGAAAACTATGTGTCCTCAGGTTACACATAACAGATTACACTGTTCGCTGTACAAGCTGAATATGTTTAAAACATGTATTGTAAACAGAAAATAAGTGTAGGGGGCTTCTCGTGGACGGAAACGAATGTGAATCAATTTATCAGAGGTGTGCCAGATAAAGCCGAAATATTGTCACTGTGGCGTAACACACCTGTCACTCAAATATATAGTACCTTTAAGGCATAAATAGCCACTGTTGAATATTATATGCCTTCTATTTTCAATAGGGGCGGTGGGGTAGCCAAGTGGTTAAAGCGTTCGCTTGTCACGCCGAAGACCCGGGTTCGATTCCCTACATGGGTACAGTGTGTGAAGCCCATTTCTGGTGTCTCCCGCCGTGATATTGCTGGAATATTGCTAAAAGCGGCGTGAAACTAAACTCACTCTATTTTCAATAGATATATTTGCACACAACCAACATACATTTGCACAGAAAAAAAGAGAAAAGATCTTTTTCCAAATAATGTACAACAATTGCAACAAAACACCTTTTCCACATAGTGTACTCGAAGGATGAAGTCCCTTAAAAAGAATAACTTCAAAATATATATCTAAAAGTAAACAAGAAATTGAGCCAAAAATAATGACTACTTAATGTAGATTGGCCAGAATATTCCATACTTCAGTTGGATATCAAGTAAATATACTTACCAGGATCAGTCAGACAGACTGCCCTTTTCATGACAAATATGAGCTAAAACCGCCATAAACACATGCAAAGGAAAGTCAAGTGTTCATTGAACAAGCACAGATCAACTGTATAGTTACTTGGACCGATCAGATCAACTTCATTCTACATGTAGTTATTTGGACCGATCAGATCAACTTTATTTTTGGTGTTTGACTGATCAGATCAACTTTTTCTAATTATTCGGACCCATCAGATCATATGTATTCCATGCGTTGACCCATAATATCAACTTTATTCTGGGTATTTGGACCGATCAGATCAACTTTATTCAAGGTGTTTGACCGACAAGATCAACTTTATTCTTGGAATTTGGACCAGTCAGATCAGCATCATACTATGTGTTTTTTTACCGATCAGGCTTAATGTTCGTGAGGGACGGATGGGTAGCCCAGTGGTTAATGCGTTCGCTCGTCAAGCCGAAGACCTGGGTTCGATTCCCCACATGGGTACAATGTGTGAAGTCCATTTCTGGTGTCCCCCGCCATGATATTGCTGGAATATTGCTAAAATTGGGGTAAAACCAAACTCACTCACTGAAATGTTGCACAAATCAACCTCTATCAATTAGACTTACATGGTCTTTTCAGTTCCCATAACACTTTCTCTTGTAATTTTACATGCAAATATATGATGTAACTTGGACCCAATTTTATAGTCGATTTCGGTATATCTATAATCGTCGGTCAGATGTATCACGCAAGAGGTTGAGCCCAGTAAATCTGCAAAATGTCTTGACCACTTAGTTGTATTAAAGTGGTAAGTTATTTGACCAAATTATATCGCCCATAAGACCGGGGTTAGCCTTGTATGTGTCGTCGTATCAGATATGTATGTTTCAATGTTTTCGAAAAATAGATTCATCGTTGTTTGGAAGTATCGATGTAACATTTTGATGAACTGGAAGTTTTGTAATAGAGATGATGATGATGATGATGATGATGATGATGATGATGATGATGATGATGATGATGGTGATGATGAAAGATTAACTCAGTCAAAGTATGTCCGTGGTGCATCAAATTTGTGGAAGTTCCCACCCGTGAGCATGATTCATTTGCTCCTCAGGCCCCTATAGCAAGAAGCTCCATTGTTCCTCAAGGTTGGAGCTGACAGAATACTACAAAAATAGCTTTGGGAAAGTTCAGCTATCAATCTGATGAAACAGTAACTGTGCAGAATATTTTGTCACTCTTCATACACAATTTCAGACGTGCAACAATGGGGTGAGTCAGTTTAGTTTTACGCCACACTCAGCAATATTCCAGCTATATGGCTGCGGTGTGTAAATAATCGAGTCTGGACCAGACATTCCAGTGATCAACAGCACGAACATCGATCTGCGCAATTGGGAGCCGATGACGTGTGTCAACCAAGTCAGCGAGCCTGACCACCCGATCCCGTTAGTAGCCTCTTACGACAAGCATGGGTTACTGAAGATCAATATTCTAACCCGGACCTTCACGGGTACAGCCGTGCAACAAATGAGACCGTTTCATCAGCCTCAGACCCGTGAAGATCCGGGTTAGAATTGATCTTCAGCAACCCATACTTGTCGTAAGAGACTACAAACGGGGTGGGTGGTCAAACTCGCTGACTTCGTTGCTCATGCTGTTGATCACTGGATTGTCTGGTCCAGAGTCGATTGTTTAAAAAGTTATATGCTGAGAATATATATATAGTCATACTTTTTAATATGCTGTTAGCGAAGGACACTATAGCTACTATATAATGACAGTACTAATCACAAAACTAGTATTAGATCAGTTTGAAATTCTATATGAGTTGTCAACAACACAATATAAATCAGGCTCGAGATCGCCAGCAGATTCAGGTACGCGAATACACCATACATTTGTAGATATCTCTAAAAGCTTCTGTAAATCTGTACACATGTAAACAGGTGTATTCGAATCGTCTATTATCTATGTCGTTAAGCATAAATGAACTAAAAGACAACTGCCATAAAATTTATCATTTTATGCAAATTCGATCAACGTGTTGTTACACACAAGCATATACCGTGAAGATCCGGGTTAGAATTGGTCTTCAGTAACCCATGCTTGTCGTAAAAGGCGACTAACAGGATCGGGTGGTCAGGCTCGCTGACTGGGTTGACACATGTCATTGTATCCCAGTTACGTAGATCGATGCTCATGCTGTTGGTCCCTGGATTGTCTGGTCCAGACTCGATTATCATACAGATCGCCATCATATAGCTTGAATATTGCTGAGTGCGGCGTAAAACTAAACTCACTCAGTCACTTTAATCCGGGAAGGTGTGAACAGGGTTTTAAATGTTTTACATTCATGTTCAAATAGAACAGTATTACCCCACCACCACCAATATCAAAATACAAATAAAAATAAAATACGCTTATGCAAATTCAGTTGTACATGTGACTTGGTTACATTTGTTACTTTGATAAAGTTACACGAATACATGTATAGCTAACTTTACTTCTTAAATATGCACACTGAGCATTCGAATCGTGTGGGAAAACATCAGTGCCCAAACAATAGTTTTTGTTAAACATTAATTTAATTAAATGAATTTAACGTTTTATACTGACTTATTTCTAAAGTGTAGCCAGTGCAGTTATATCTTATTGGTTAGGTATAAATACGGTTGATTCGGCATAAATTTGATCGTATTTTGCATTAATAAGTGAAATGGACCGAACTGATTAATTCCCCAAAATTATTTTTTGTTATTGTACATGTGCATGGATTACATTGAACTACATAAACCGACAGACGACTTCAAAACCAATTTCCAACTGTAGGATGTCGTGCGGGGAATAGTACAGGAGGAAAAGCCGGTCAAGAAGATGAATCCGCCATTGTTGAGAAATTTCCAGAAAATCGAAGAGCACTTGTGCAGCTGGATTGCACACTAACAGAAGATCTTTCGATGAAAATCTGCACGAACACACGATTGGGAAGCAAACGGGCGACGTTACTGTATGTGTTGTGTTTTAACTGGAACGAAAACAGGTGATTTAGCTGAAGCTTTTGTTTCGACATTCCGCGCACCTGCTTGGCGGCAAAGCTCAACATGCAATGCTATCTACACATGTGATCACCCACTGATCCACGTGCTCAATATTACTAACATTGAAAGCATTTTGTGATATTGCTACGATTTTATTCCGACATAATCAATCATGTTCATCGAAACGCTTGAGTTTACAATTCCTGTGGAATTGTGCAGTATTTTTTCAAGCCTCCAGAAGGGCCACAGGTCAAACGTTGAGTTTCCTGCATCAGTGAACTCTTATGGCACAACGCAAGATGCCAATTTGCAGGTTGTGTTACGCTCAAACAAACTAACGTTCAAAGTGGACGGTGTGTCGTCAAATGCAAGCATGATATCAAAGAGTGAATGTAAGACTTTAAAACTCTCGGTGTTTGATGTGGACAGAACATTAATGCCTCAAGAAAATGACAGTTACGATTCTAATAATATGTCCGCAGTGCAGCATTCAACACCTGTGTCATTTCCATCCAAAAGACATCATGAAATCTCAGTGTCACAGCCACCTGCTAAAAATCGTAGGACTTCTTTTTCTGATTCATCAAGACCCAGATCTCCACTTCATCGTCGCTCACAACCTCAATCCAGTCCACGTCCATCTATTAACACACAATCAAAATCCAAAAATGACTCTCTGGTGAATGTGAAACAAGAACCAGAAGATCCAGATTTAATAGAAATAGAACCAGACCATGATCCTGATGATCTTGTGCCAAAGAAGGAGACTCCATACATGCAAATAGATTATTCATCCGATGTACCTCATACGCAAACGTCCCAAGCAGCTCTAGATCGACTCTCTCATCCACAATCATCACATTCTCAATCACCCGGTTCTTCATCATCGTCCTTCCATCAAAACGTTCCACATGTGCCAGATTACGCCGAACCCAGTACTAGTCAAGTTCATCATGGTGACCAAAGTGCAGATGACTTTTTAGTGTTTCAAGAACAAGACGAAGATTGTGATGACAACGATGCTGATTATGGAAATGATGGTAATTATATTCTTCAGTTCTTCATCCTTCAGAAGCTGCTGGCCATGCTCACAACTTTCCAAAGTTTTGTATTTGAGTAGGCAAGATTAGGAAGGCAATTCATTATTTAATCAGGTCCTTGCTTTACTGAAAAACTAACCGTAAGAAACATTCTTTGTATGGGGAAACATTGCACAGTTATTTGGGCTGCAACAAACCATATTAAAGTCAAAATAAATGTTTAAGAGAGTTGACTAATGTCCTGCCTTGGTTAAATATTTTTCATGTTGCATATCGTTCCTGCAGTATTGAAACAATCTCAAACTCAGAAGTTTTCCCCCCAAATCTGCAAAAGGTGTGTGTAGGCTGAATCTATATTCTGAAATATGGAAATAAACTTAAACGGTACATTGTTATGAGCATTTGATAAACATATGGCATATTTTCCTTCACTGGTGAAGAGTTGATAGCAAAAACTGAGGGTTCAAAGTGGTGATTTGTAATTGAATTGAGAGTAATTTCTTATTCAATTAATAATGGAAATTATTACAAAAGCAAGTTGCCTTCCTAATGTTTTTATAAAACAGATTCACAAAATTTCTAAAGGGTGACAAACACAAAATATCCAACATGACTACATATGGGTAAACATTTACCAAGCTGAGAGGCAGATTTAGAAACAATGGCAAACACTTTGAAAGTATCCTTGGTCATTCAGTTTATAAGAATGTAAAAAAAAAGAGATGTCTTGGTAGTCCTCCTGCTTCCATACATTCCCAGCATAGTTTTTGCAAATCGTAAAAATTAAGTTGCAGCAACTGATATTGCTTAATGATTCAGAGACATTTACATGTTTTTTCATTTTCACTGATCAAGATAATAAGCTTTGCTTGTGGATGGGCCCAGGTTGTTTATCAAAATGGAATGGAGCTTTGATGCACTTAATTGTCAAGGATGTAATTTAAGGTGCTCAGCTCCTTTCCTGACTGTAAATCGCCACCTAAATTTTTGTGTAGTAAGTAGTTCAATATTGTAAGTGATTGAAATTAAAAATTGAAATTAATTCACAACACATTTTGTTCATGACCTCAATATTGCTGAAAAAAAGTTCCCAAATAGTATGTTTGAGATGACATTTTGAAAAATGCTGTCGAGGAAATTATGTTGTTGTGAAACATCCCTCCAGATCTATCTTGTGATAAAATCGGTTGCCACACCGGGGTGTATTTTTGTTAACTTTGACGGTACATGTGCTGTGATTATTCCTGATGGATTTGGTTGCCCAGACAAGTTCTTAGCATTGCCAGCAGTTTGTTTTTGTACAAAGTTTGATCATGAACATTAATTGAGAACTTACAATTCTGTAACATTTTAATACTGATAGGTGAACTTCTGAACCATAGTCGAAGATACATTTTTATTATTTGTTAAGTTAGGTGTCCCTGTTTATACTTCTCAAAGAAAGTCTAAGGATCAGCAGATTTTTATGTTGCTATAGTTACTGTCATGCTGTAATACCATCTATGCTGTTCATGACATGGAGTAATTATTGTAATGTGAAAGTATTGTGTTCCTTAAATGATCTGGAGTAGTATTGATGGTGCACGTAAACATGAACAGTTGAAAAACACAATTTATACTCAGATAGATTTTTGTCTTTGTTACTTAATCTTTAAGTGTTGATTGGAACATCAGAAAGCTTGCATGATAGTTAAGTTAAAGGGTGTATTTGCATTTATTGTTTTGGCGTATTTCAAGTCTTTGTGTTCTCAACAAATAGTGTTAATGATCCAGCTCTGTCAAAAACAGTTTCTTTAAAATGTTAAAATTAAATCACGTTTTGTGTGTAAAAGTAAATGTCAGTGTTGGTGCCTTGTTTTAATTTATGGTAATTGTTAAGCACCATTTTTAGTTATGTACACACATGCACTTATTTAGCAGGTGACAAGATAGATTGATAAACCTGGTGAGGTTTTTCATTCTGTGAAATTAAAACTGGTTTTAGCTACATAAACTGTTAGAAGAGTCAAAAAGGGATGAGTGAAATTGCTCAGGAAAGAGTTTCCTCCCTTTAATCCATCTTGTCACTTGCCATGTTGACACACCCAGTGCCACAGTACAGCGATGATGGGGGCGTGGTTCCTGGCATCACAAGGTAAGTCCACACACTGGATTCCTGACTCAACTGTGGCCTGGGGTAGGACGTCCTCAAGCTCAACAATGATAGACCAGGTCAAAACATTGGTAAAATACTGCAAAATAAGATTTTAGCCACGTATGTACCATATTTGACACAGTATTAAATAATACAGGGTTTTATTTCATAATTATCTGAAGCTGCCATAATCTTGTTCATGCTCTGGTTCCCGTTGTATTTTATTTTGGTATTTTGGACTTTTCAATTTTCTCCTGTTAGCAATATAATTGGCACAAAGTTTCTAAGAAAAATTTGAGAAGTATATGGATGAAATTGTTAGCTCAAGTCTTCACTGCCAACATGTACCCAGCCCATTTTATTCAGTCTATAAAATTTGATAATAAGCCTGGATTTGTGGTGAAATAGAACCCTTCAATATTACATATAAACACACATGCATTGCTTTATGAATAAAGTCTGCACGGTTGGATGAATTTGGTTCTTTCTTCCCATGTACGTTATCTTGACTCAACCGAGGTAGTTGATTGGTCACCTTGGAATGTGGAAGATGGTAAGACCGTGAAAAGTTGTGGTTCTGATTAACTTTAAACTTGAATGTATTTTAAAACTTCAGTAACAACTTTGAAATTGGCCTGTCGATATATTCTATAACCTGTTAATTTTATAAACAAGAAATAAAGATAAAATAAAATATTTTAAAAAGCCCAAAACCGCTGCAAGATGGATCCAATTTAATCTGAACCACAACTCCTTGGCCTGAGTACACACAGTGGCACACATTCAACATTGTTTCTTCATGTGTTATGAATTCTGTGTCAAACATGGTACAAGTGTCATGAAGTTGAGGATGAGAAAAAGTTATCTACCAAAGGTTGAAAAATAATGTGCCTCATCAAAGTACTGATTTGCTTGTGTAGATAAACATAATTCCTCCAGCTGTTAATTGCCCAAGTGTAAATGTAACTTAGTTTTATAGATTTCAAGTCTTCACTTATTTTGCATATTTTCCCATTACCTGAAAAACATTAAGGGCTATCAAACATGCACTAGCGAACAGATAGGAATGTTACTATGTCTCAGTGGCTAATATTGAATATTGTTGACCATATTTGACCAATTATGTGTATGTAGTCTTTGTTTGGGGTATAAATAATGTTATCACATCTTTGAACTTGGAACATTGACATGTATCATCTCCAACTAAAGTGTGTTGATTTTGTTTGGGTAATATTGATGTATAAATGATCATTTAAGGCAGTGGATCATATTGTCTGAAAATATAGTTTTATACATAAGAGGTCAGATGTGGTTTTGTACGTAAGTGTTGTTGTCTAATACTTTTGATATATGATAATTTACTAATACTCTTGTGGATGAACTTGTTTTACTGCTTGTAAGATACATACACCCTATGTGTTTGATACACACTTCAGTGAGATATGACTATATTTAGTGTAACCACATGTTGGGATTTTGCTATGGCGGACTTGATATCAATATTTCGTGATGAATGAAGAAAACTACGAGTCTTTGTGAAAGTGATGTTTAATCAGGATCGAGACATGTTGACGACCGAGGGAATACTTTTTCTCTGAGAAATACTGACATTTGCCTTTATCCCATTTGAAGGACCTTGATCTTCAGATGAATATTTCAAGGAGTACTAGGCCCAGTTTGGACAAGATTCGATTGCTTGGTGTTCAGATCTGCGTTGCATAGTGCGATTGCAAATGAAACAGTTTGATGTAATATGACCATTCACTTGGCCAACAATTATAGGCATGATCACGTGATATCAAGAACCAGGGACACTGAATGATAATCACCAGGGTTTTACGTGTCACTCAAATCTGCGTCCAGTACGCACAAATGTGGAGAATGGACGCAGAAACCCCCAAATACTGCATCCAAAGAGACGCACAAAAATACCTACTGTGACTCAGGAGTAGTTACCTCTGTCTAATTTCATCCATCAGTCATGAGCACTGACCACATGACCAGGGATTCATTCATTATCTGAACGTACACTACACCATATCAATACTTGACAGGATCCTCCTACTGCCAGCAAGGACCTATAACATTTATTGTAAGACACGGTAAAACCCTGATCAAGTAATGTCCAATAATAAACCAGCTTTCAATAGCATCAGGCTGTATGAAACAGCCTGTGATTGTTTCACATTCATACCTTCGATTGGATCATGTGGATCAAAGAAGATTACATACCAGTTTAGCGGTTCATCTTTCAGTTAAAAAGAACTCTGTCTAAGGATTATGATTGCTTTGTTGAGTTGAGATTGACGTTTTAGCCAGATAGCTTGCCCAAAGAGACGGCATTGTTTCAGTTTTTCGTGATGTTGTTGAGATCTGTGATGTGGAAAGGAAACTTTGCCGATACTCTACCGATATGCCTGCTTCTTTGCCTGATGTATACTTTAACACTGACAATGGCTTTTCCATTGTTCTTCAGTTGCTGGCCATAGTTTCAAATACCACAGCTTTATGTTGAAGAGACTGTGTCGAATATGTGGGAAGCTAGCGGACGGTGGCCCTAAGAAAATAAAATTCCAGCAAGAGCTGCTGGAATTGTTCCATGTCAACGTTTTTGCCGATGTCCCAGGTGTACATCCAGTGAAAATTTGTCTAGCCCACAAACAAGTTCTGAATCGCTTCAAGCGAGCAAAGGTGTCAGGGAGGCCGTACAGCACCCATGCTGTTCCCCTTGAGTTTGCTCCCTATGACGAAATCCACTCAGACTGTTTTATATGCTTTCCCTTTTGTGGATGACTGAGATTATGAGATTTTGAGATTATTCATGAACTGGTTAACCATCATTGGCTGTTTGTGTTGTGATGCTGGT